CCCTGACTCACTCTGATTGCGTTAATTGAGTATTTACGTACGCAACATTCTTGTTTTGGGAACGATTTGCTTTCTATTTTACAAGGATGAGTTTAGTTATTTGAGGAAAGTAAGAATAGAACCGGTTTAAGGTTTCCCAGGCTCCACATTATGTAAGCCTAATATTTCAGAAAAATCTTGACCCAGAAACGAAAAAGCAGCCTTGCTTGTTAGACTAACAAGAACAACGGTAATTCAAAAAGTTCAAATACATTATTTCGTAATCTGAAAACAGATTCATCATTTTATCCAGGGTCCAACTAAAATACCTATGTCCATTCATGTACAAACTTTGCCTCCCCATATGCTAATAAGAATCCAATCACTTTGGAAAACAAACTCAATCTAGAATTAACCCCCGAACACGTAGACGCGGTAGCCGTGCGATATGTCGACCTCCGTCATATCATAGTCGTGGTTGATAGCTTCATACGATGGCCGATTAATGAAGCCGACGGAGCGCCACAGAACGTTGCCGTAATAGTTTTACGACTAACCCTCTCCCCGACCCGTCCTAACCCCCTACGGGCAGACTCGACTACTTGATTATGCATCCGCGGTACTTCAGACCGATTATCGAACTACTAATGAACGTTACTAGGAACATTTTAGTAACTGTTGTTTTTGTACGAACAAATTCTACCATTGAAGCAGTTCTTTGCCTTCCAATAAATGCTTTACACAATCAGTTTTATTCTGAGAAAACGTTAATTAAATATTTTACATGAAATACCTTTCGGATTGACAAGTAAATTACATTCAATCTTAATACTAAATTCTGAGTAATCGATACTAATGTAGTCACAAGTGAAGCGTCCATTTCCTAGAATATATAATTCAGTGTGGACTAACAGCGTAATCACATCTTAATAGATTGCTTCTCATTATATCAATTAGTAGTATGAATTTACAACTAAGTACAACATTGGGTGAGGTTGGATGGTGCAATAGAGCTGGGCAATCGGTTAGAATAATGCGGCTATGATGCTCCAACATTGTTATTAGATACGCTATCCTGGCATAGAGATTTGATGCTATTGAACCTACCGATAATAGGATATTGGATTGATCGGAAAAATTGGATTTTGAAGTTAGCAGTACGTTGATTTATTTGTTTTGCTTTCAATAAATGGATTTGGTATTTGAGGCTGTTCTGCATTTTGAGTGGGATTCGTATTGTGTTTTGTTAAAGTTTTATCAATGTTGAGTGAATAGACAAAATTGTTACACGTACGTGTTACAAATTGTTAGTTAGATTTGAATGTAACACAAGTTTATTTTGAACTCAAACTAAACTAGTAATGTAATTAAAAGCATCAATTTGTTGGTAAAAGCTTGTTATTTAATTAGGAAATACTTATTCCGCGTACAATTATAATAAAAAAATGTAGTTGCGAACAAACTACGGGCAGCTTGCTGAAATCAATAACGGCAAGGAAACTTTTCAAACTACCTAGCTATCAAAGCGAGAAAACTAATAAAAACAGTTGAAAATCCTTTTAACTACTGCTTAATGATTCGTTAAAATATGAAAAAGTATTTGAACCATTTGCGAGGCAGCTACTAATACGAAGTCGTCTTAAGTAGAGGCGAGGGCGACGGAGGGGGAGGACTCGCAATCCCTCTCATTTAACACCGCTCTATTCCTCTGTAGGTGTTTGCCGAAGCGATTTCAAGCAAGGATCCTTCTTTTATGGTGCTACTTACAGTCTCATAGTGATTCGCGGTTTTATTTCGGACGGCTCATGTAAAAGCGCGTACATTTTTCATGTTACGAATGGAGCGAACAGTAATCTTTGCATTTATGCCGTGATCCTTTATTGATTTTAGATTTTTAGTGGAAAGCGAAACGAATGAAGCTGGCGTGAATGGAGACGCGCCCGGTAAAGCCGTTGTAAGCCGAGCGATGATATAAACTGCTATTCACGAGGGAACATATCAGAATTCTCCGCCATTTATTTGTATGTTTTATGTGCGATTTGTATTCCGCAATTAATATTGAGATAGTTAAATGAAATATATTTTTAAAATAAGCAATAAATGTAAAACTAAAATTCCAGATGTAGGTAACTTAAGTCTAGGTAAGATCTACCTTAACTTGTTATGTCATAATGAAAAATATTGAATATAAATCGAATACACAACTGGAAAATCTCAATTACGACTAAAATCATACCGAATGCGAACCGAAACCCACGTGTTCTAAACAAAACAATCACTTAAATAGAAAACAAATTACTGGCAACATTCATCAATATAAACATACTATAACATCTAGCTTCCGGAAACCATTACACCAAGATCTTTTTTAGAAATGAACCTTATGTCGTATGAGTACGGTGCATTTAAACAAAGCCGGGGTTGTAGGCTGGTTGATTACTAAATCAAATCTAATTTAACCTTTAACACGAAATAGGTGCTTTAAGGAGCTCTGCTCGTAAAATTATGATAAAAGGTTTCGTTTTTACGACTTAAATAAAACCATGGTTTGTGGTTAAATACTTAACGCCTACAAACAATAAACTTTCCGGGTTTTATCAACACGATACTTTTAAACTAATTTTAATTTGATTTATTAAAAATTTTATGTTTTTCGCGGAAATTTATGAGCAAAACTGTACCATATGTTACAAAAAATAAGGCATTATTTCCGCATATGTTTTACGGTAACTAAATAGCTTCTAATCGCATTAAAACATAGGAAAATTAACAAAAAACACAAAATACCCTCTGATATCGTTAAAACCTCTCAGAATGTCACATTTCATCTCAAAACCTTCATCCATTTAAGAGAAATCCGATATAAATCCGGTTTTCCTCCTCACGGAGAGAAGTCTAATGCCGTAATTAATTTTCTTTTTTTACAATCATAACTAAACCAATTTGTTTCACACCTCCGTATAAATTCCGACATTTATAACGATAGGCACACAAAGTTAACACATTTTTTTTCTTCAAGAAACCCTCATTTCCCTAAGCCTTAAAGAAAAAACAATGAAAGGAGACCTACCATTAAAATAAATAAAAGAAAATAAAGCACCGACCGCAAATTATTTCACTTACCAACTTCTTTTTATAAAAATGCGAACGACGCATTAAATTTCGGGGAGAAAGGAAACTCCCTTGTAAGCAATATCGAGCAGGCAAATTTTTTAGATATTGCCTTCAGGTAGAGCACATTTATTATGTACCCGTATATATTACTCTTGATTCATTGACTTTCGATATTGATTTACTTTGCTTGCATAAGCTGTAGTTCGGCAAGACTGCGGTAGACAAACTATACTGCCTTTGATACGAAGAATTAATGGCGAAGTTGGTGTGTGCGGACACTTCTTGGTACAACTTTGACGAGTTACAGCTGAGGTACACGGTTTACATAGATTGATACGTAAGCAAACGCCGATGGACTACCGACCTTTGAGGAAGATAACTTTTTTGTATCATATCTTGTTCAACAAACTCCCTTATTTACTGCTCTTGTATCTTTTTATCATTAAGTTGGACAACTTTATTGCTGACTGTAAATATCTACCCAACTATGCAAGGCCCGGCCTCCTAATATTCTTGTTTACGGCAACAACTTCTAAAGTGTTATCACTTTCAAGACACCAGGACGGTACATCTCGGCCATAGCCGATGTCCGCTTGATTTACGGTTACGATAAGGTGTCGACCTAAAAAGTTTTGTGCTTCCCTACGCGAAACGCAATCTGGAAAGATTTAAAACCAAAAAAAAAACCACAAGGTTTTATATCGAGCCACACGTGCTCGAGATATAGTAAGGTGAGTTTGTAACACCGTCTATGTTGAATTTGAGGCACAAGTTTGCTGTCGCATGGTTAAACTAAAATAGGTTTAATTAATAGGGCGTTGGGACGAAGCAATACTCGCCAACAATAAACATAAACAAAAGACGTTTACGTTACATTTGGCTGAGAGGCGGAGCACGTAATGGCTGGCAGGCTGCATTCAGATTCCCAGCTGAGGCGCTCCAATATCGGCTCTTGGTATATTATTTCAGGGCGGAGGGACGCGGGGCAATATTGAGTTGTGAAACCGATGATTTACCTAACAGGAGGCGCTGCTAACGGAGCAACTTTAGCTCGACACTTTGACAACTTATTTCTTGTCTCAAAGTTACTAAGCCACTCAGTTTGTGTACGTAGTGGCTTGATTGTTATTCGCCGAGATAGTAACTGTAAAAGCTTCTGTTCAGACTTTTCAAGGACTTCAACTACCTCGCTTCGCAACTAATAACGCATTTCAGTTTATTTAGGAGCTCCGCATCAATATTATACGTAATGAACGCTTAAAAACTTTAAGGTAAACAAGGGTCAGAGGAGTACGCAGAGAAATATTCGAGCTATGCCCAAAGCAGTACGGCTATTAACAGAACTTAGTTTAGCAACCTGTAAAGTGTATACCGAAATCCTCATTCAACTCGTCCAAACGCTTAATTCAGTTGGAATAATTCGAGTTCTATTGTTAAGTTCCTAAATTTGAAGTCCAACATTTAACTGCTTACAATTCAAAGGTAACCGCAAATTTCGAAACGAATGTGCCTCTCTATAGAATGAAACTTATTTGCAAACCGATAACTTTTAGTACGAGTCGAGTTGGTCAGTTCACGCCGTCGTGGCCAGCCGACCACCGCTCCCAACTATGCAACAAAGCATTCCAATGCCTCTGATATTGTAACAATATTTCAAAATTCTCCAATTAGCTTTACGTTCTATTAAAATTGAAGGTATCTTTCCCGATATTCTCCACTATTCTGATTCAATAATATACTCTTCATGGTATGCAGAAAATTTTCCGAAGTATTCCTGTGGTTTTTAAAGCAATCTGTCAATTGATCTCTACTTGAGAATACGCGGAATACATGTAAACAAGTTGAAGTTAGTATTCCTGGCGAATGCCGATAACGAAAGTTAGTAAAGTGAATGTATCAGAACATACCTCGACCGCCTCGTCGTGGGATCTTTCATAACCATAACTTCTGTGATTTCGCCGAATTTGCTAAAGTAGTCTCGAAGACTCTCTGTAAAGAAAAGAAAATCGTATTTAAACATGGTGAATGTTTTATGAATTCTCAAACATATGGCGTATTAAAGGATTTATTTAGGATATATTTACATTTGTATGTATAGGGTCGTATACTCGGAAAGTGGGTTGTTTTCCAATGCGATTCTCTAAATTGTACATCGAATGCCTTATCGTTAAGTGCACTTAAAGAAAGGTCTTAAGCAAAATCCTTACAATAACAAAGGAAGTCCGGCTTCTAAAACACTGCTCTCCAAACAAAACACAGGTAGGTATTATTACAAAATTCGGTTTTATTTTTGGACCGAAGTCTCGCCGGGTATTTTTTCGAAGTACGTATTGGTACTACGACAAAGAACTTTCATGGCACATTCACTCAACACTTCTACACAATAGAAGGGTCTCGTTTTGTAACGTTGAAGCCTTTTCGATTCGCAGTCCATAAAAGTAAAACGATAAGAGTCATTCCCTTCAAATGACTGGAGGAATCGTCAAGCAAATGTTTGAGAGTGCACGCTCCACAGAAATGTTCGTGTGTTTATCGTATCACAAGAGATTTGGTTCGACAAGCAGCGCGAGTATTTAGTATAATGTTTCTCTATTTATATTGGCTTGTTATATCGTCTCGTCTGCCTTAAATACATGCAAGGAGCATCCGCGTCGAGATTTGTTTGCGACTGACTGTATGACTCACTAATGGATAGGGCGGGTAGGCCCACCCTCTAAAATGAATATGCTGATTTCCCAAGTCCGTGTTTTTAGGTGTATTTTACATAATATCCGGTCAGCAACCGACACGTTACCGGGTTTAATCACTTTTGGTGTTCGTAGATGCACCCTAACTAATATCCACGAAATAATTAACATACTAAAATATTGTAAAGGATGTTCAAAGTAATTTAATCGTGTACCTTCCTATCTCCCAATATTTACTTTGTCTAGATTGTGTTCATAACCAAGTTTGGGACAGCAAACACGCGTGAGTAATCTAGATATCCCGCGCACACTATGTGCTTACATATAATAACGTTCGGCATCATTTGTAAACGAACGGTCGGTACTAAGTTACTGTAAACCTGTGAACTTCCGATTAATACTAATTAAGAACAAACAGGCCAATCACGAGAGGCTTATTGCGGGATACATTCCAATTTAAACTTGCCTTCAATTCGATAACAGGGGCGCTTCTAAAACCAAATGTTGGTCTATGTTTTTAAAGTCGATTTTAGACTTGTTTCGCGCGGAACTTTTCTAATCTGACCGCTACCCGGGCCTTCGGTTCTGCACTTCGAAACAGTAATGAAAAGTAACGATTGCATGCTGACTCCACCATTAATCACCTACAACATTGTGTGAGGGTACGTTTTTAGATTCGTGAAGAATGACCCCGTTGGGTAATGGTTACGGTTTTTTTGACTACGACAATCTGAAAGTTCAATTAGATCGGGCAATTTAGTACCCTGGTTGCTTAAAATAGCACAAATAATAAATAGCTTACATATATCTTCAAAAATGTAAAAGAAACAATTATTTAAAACTTATCATCTATCATTCCATTTCATACCAACCTTTACCATAGATTAAAAAATATAAAACTTTTTTCGTCAACCAACAAAAAATTTGAAATGAGAACGCAAAACATAAACAAAAAAAAATAATTAATTAAAGTACAATGATGATACCGGGTAAACTATTCGCAACCCTTGTTGTGTACCCTCCGGATTTATATTTTATTTAGATGACGCCTACTAGGCAATACTGCGAAGGACAGGGCGACTGGATTCGGCACAGTTGTTCAACCACCATAAAATTAGCATTTGGCTGGCGAGTAGCATTTTCATCTGAACACAAGTAGAGGCACCTGAATTATTCGACCGCTCTCCTACAAGACAGGGATTTGATGCCGTGTTTTTTTTTCTTTTTTTTCGAGTAAAGTAAAGGAGTTCTATTGCGTGTATTTGTTACACAGGGGTATCTAGGCATTAACATTTTTTTTATATTTACATATGTAATACAAAATATTATAATTTTATTTCAAAATATCATGTTGTTTTCGAAATTTAATTCAAATGAACAATAAGTTACAACTTCTATCTTTTATATTTTGAAAAACGAATAATAATTTTTTGTTTAGATTTAATTGATATTTTAATTTTAGAATTCTGTTTATGATTTTCGCATTTTAGCGTGAGAATAGAGTGGTTCGAATTCTGAATGCAGTGTTATATGAGAATAACATTATCATATTTATTTTAAATAGTATTCAGATAGAAAAAATCTGTTTCAAAATTTTGATTTCATTTGATATCTACTGAAATTAACCTACTCCCTGATTTTATATCCCAGCGATGAGTAATTTAATGAATAGTAATAAATCATTGTAACGCGGCAATTCGATTTTGTTTTGTGTCGGACGCACGCGCGCAACTCTAGTGACAACACGCCACCTCACTATTCCTCTTCCCCCGCTTCCCCGCCACTGACCAATCGACGCTTGAGAGAAATAAGAGTCCCGCGCCGGAGCCGTGACGCACGCGCTCCGTATTTGTGCCGCGAAATATTTTAGTTTTGTATTATTGTGCAACTTGGTTTATTAATATATTTAGTTTAAAGTTTATTCCAATATATACATTTTTACATTTGTCCTTCGTGTGTCGAACTTTATTTTACGCCTCTGAGAACCCACTAAGATAAACATTCTCAAGTATATTAAATCATTAAAAAATACGTTTTATAACACAAATGACACTTGTATAATGTAGATAGAACTTAATACAATAAATTCCATAGATCCTTCAAACGTACACCACTAACTGACCAACGTATTGAGGCATTAAAAACCGCGCTACAACAAAACCAAACAAACAAAGGAACAAACCGCCCACTATATTATTACTCATAACACCGCCATTCGCACGGAAATGTCCGGACAGCCATTTTATTTCTTTCTTATAAAACATTTACAGTTTAATGACGTATTACGTCTAGCTTGCAATAAAATTATTAATATTGTCTGTGGTAGGGGGACGGGGGAGTCGACGCAGCACTTGCTCAACCACCATTAAATTGGAACTTGCCACACTTCCTGAACTACCACCTTGCTACTGGATTACACATTATATTAAAAGTTTAATTTTTATGAATATTGTGGTACTTTGACGTTTTATATTCTACTGTATTTATAATTAGTGATTCAGTTTAGTGTTCTCTCGTGTTTGATGAAGTAATTAGAAGATTCGGTTTAATAAATGGAGTTGTTTTTTAAGACTTTGTATGATTGGGAATATTAGACTGGATAGACCGCATCATCTTTTACCACCAGACGAGATGGCGGTCAAACGTTGGCTCATCAAATATAAAAAAAATATTTTGGTCAGTGGTATTTTGGACTGAATGTAAGTTTACTAAATAATTATTTTTTAATAATTATTTTTCGCCCTAAGTTTGGAAAAATGTAATAGAATCATCAATCACCTCCTCCTTCCCTAATTCTGAGATCAAATCACAGATCACCAATTAAAATAGAACATACCATTTTATTTGTTATACTTTAAATACTGAAATATTTTTATGCTATGTTTTTTTATAGATATTCTATTTATAAACTAAACAATCACGTAAGCTTTTTCAAACGAACTACAATGAAAATTAAACGTGTGTACATAATGTATAATGGAATGGTAACAAAAATGAACGGACATACAGTTTTTAGGCATAGTACAAAAATTGAAATAGACTTTTGTACAAGAGTAGTAAGGGCTATTTTGTAATAATTTGCATCCTTAGTATTCAGCCGTTTTGTTTAATACCTAGGTAAAAATTGCAAACAACTTGGGAATATTTATAGATGGCATAGATTGATGTGCAACTTTACCCGAATACTGAAAGCCACGAAAAGAATGAGAAGAAGGCACGGTATGAAATGTAGTGCCATCTCTGTCATTTTACAAATAATTTGTAGTGACAGAACTATACTTAAGCGCGGCTTAAAATTGGGATGATGGCGGTGTATGAAAATTAAAAATATAATTAGTCTTGTAAGTTAGGTAATGAAAAAATATTAGACACGTATTTTTTATTTTGTTGTATAATAAAACAATTTTAAATAAAACGAATCAAAGTTGAGGAGTAGGGGCTAAAACGTCATTTCTACGTATAAAATTTACATAGAAGTGACGTCAGGCGACATTTCAAATCAATATATCGCCGAAAGTATTCGTTTCCGTAAGAAAATAGAAAATACGTGTCTAATGATTTAAAATAATCTACCAGACGGACATTGAAATAAAAATTAGGCATCTACCCTGTTGAGTAACATTTTAGTATTCAGGTGTTAGTCACTATCTAGCATCCTATCCATATACACACACACAAAAATAGTTCTTAAATCACATGTAACACATAAAATATGAGTGAGGATATTACCTACAGTGTCCAGTATTAAAGAAGGTAATACATTTTGTAAAGCCCTAAATCATTCAGAAACAATGACAGACAGGCTAGTTATGAAAATAAAATAACGTCAAATATCCATTCTGGTCCTCTCTGTAATTGTTCATCCAACAATAATTACGAGAATTCTAAAACAACTTGGAATTCAAATGCTCCCTAATTGGCAGTTTTAATCTACTAACTTTCGTACAGAATTCAACGAAAGTGGGGAACAACTTGTCGTGGTTCGTGGTGAAACGAATCAAAACCTTCTAACTGAAATTTATAAATTTATTTTGCCAAATTATAATGACTGAAGAGGATAATTTGCTTTATTTAAATTCGGATCGCTTTTATGGTGTTCCAGAATAGGCTATATTTCTTATTAAAATTGGACGACGAAGTTCTGTCTCTGGATTTATTGTTGACATAGAAATTACTAGTTTTTGAAATGAAAGCGTTAGTGGGTGTATTATCTGGGCTCTAATTCGGGGCATAAAATTATTCTAATTTTAAAAATAGTATTTTCTTTGCGTAGAGGAAGATGGATTTTTTTTAAGAACTATT